AATTACTCCGTAATATAAATACGTCAGTTTATCTACAAATCAAAGTAAGCGATACACATTAGATGCAGATGGTCACAAGCTGATATGAAAGACTCATTCCACATTCAATCTGTAGTGAAAATGACAAGTTATTGAGTCAAGATAGTGGTCATTGATTTTGAAATACAAGGCATTGATAAGGACACAATCATCCAAGGTTGAAATGATTGATTCTTTATTTAAGCCAACAACAGAAGATAATGATGATGGTATAATCAAGGAGTTGCCCACTAATTCCTATACGAGTCCTAGGAAGAGAAAGCCAGATCAAATCATTATGAAGTGAATGAATCTCAGTTCAACCAAGTTTTGAACATTGAGTTGGATAATGCTATTGAGGCTTGCAAGTTTCTTGATGAACAGTGGTCGTACATCCAACATACCTTTTACGTACACATATTGAAGTACTACAACAAACGCAAACTTCTACAAGTCGTCGTAGAAGACTTGTCAAATGTCCAAAATATGCCCGCATATGCACCGTAATTTGTATACACATAGGTATACAAACGGGGTTAACTGCAATCATAAAACCCGTATAGGCTCCCGATGAGCGTGTTATTGGTATACACGTGACATCAAGGGATATTGCGTGGGTTCATAAATGAACATAGTTCGAGCCCGATCCTCCTATATATGAATATATAGGAGTCAACACAGCTCGGATTATCAAACAGATATACAATCAAGATGACAATAAGAATATCTATTTTATACATTCATATAAGGCCTTCAAGGTCTCCAACAAAGAAAATTCATCAACAAAACCGCAAAGCCAGCAACAAAATCCGATCATCTGTCGGCAAGTAGACAAAGTCGACAAGGTTCAACTTACAAATGAAAATAACCCCAAATACCCCAATGATGGCTGTGTTGAATGCAAATCTCAACCGGAGGGGTTCATTCCAAATATTTCAAATGTCATCCCAAATATCCGAAGATCCAAAAATCTTGAGATCATCTAAATCCAAAATACTTAAAATTGAAACTCAATCATCAACCAATGTTTAAAATTGCGTATTCGGGTATTGAGGCGTTTTTCATTCGTGAGGCGAGGCGTAAGCCTCAAGGCGTTTTAAGGCGTAAGCCTCAAAATCAAAAGATTGCGTAAATATAAAATGATAAATTTTTTATATACTAATGAGTGAATAATATAAAACATAAAAAAGCATAAGATATGAAGTGAAATCAAAATATCTCAATAATAAGACAACATGAAATATAGTTCAACTCAAAATTCTATTTCCCAAATCCCAGTATTCTTTTTATTAACATATAATTCTAATTTCCAAAAATAAATAGCAATTACATATCACATAAGAACTCATAAATCATTAGCACTGTCATCACTAAGGGGTTTTTTATTTGAATCATCATTATGGTGAACTGCTCTCTCCCTTTCCTCCTTCCTATAGAGTCCAATTTCGGGCATTTACTTCAAGATTTATGTAAGTTTTAATATATATAGCGTGACGCGTAAGCCTCATGTTTTAATATATATAGCGTGAGGCGTAAGCCTCATGCCAGTGAGGCGAAGCGGGCCTCAACCAAGTTGAGGCGCAAGCCTTATAAAAGAAACTCAAGGCGTAAGCATCGATGCGTTTCTTACTGGAATTACACAAAGGCGGGCCTCAAGGCGAGCCTCATATTGCGCAATTTTAAACCATGTCATCAACCACTCAAAGCAAAATCCATCCATAGTCCATAACAATTTGCCGAGGTGGACAAATTCAAATATAACTTCAGCTCACATGGAACTAAATGCTAGTCGAAAATATCACTAGGATTCATTCTCAAACAGTCTGGTGTCAGTAAGGACGTGGTACGTGTTCTCTGACCGATGATTTTGCAGCCAAATGGTACCACAGGATAAACGGTTATAACCCGGGACCCTCTGAACCGAGTGGTTTTGCCGTCAAATGGCACCAATAAATTATGGTTATGGCCAGAGCCAATACGTTCCTTAGTGGCATCAAATCCTTGAGATATGAATCAATAGGGTATGATTGATATGACACAAAGCCCTCTGTTAACTAAGGTGGATTCAAATTTTTCACCTTAGACAAACACTCCCCCCAGATCTATAAGGTCCCCTAGGACGAAGCAACCCATGACTGCCGACAAGGATCCTTCTGTCAGGTTGGGTCGACTACCTCCTCTGACTAAGTAGACCAGGGACCACGATGGCCCAGGAAAATGGAACCATGGTATCTTGATCGAGTCCATCATCCATTCCCCCAGCATACGCTTTAAGTGCAAAATGATAAAATTTCTATTTTAAATATCAAACCTTGAACTTCCAACATCCAAGCCCATGGTACTACTATATACCAGATGCGCGTATTTTTTACGTATCTGATTGACGACTAGCCTTAATCAAAAGTTCTCTCTCGTGATCGAGAGGGTAATTAACCAGAACTCAGATCATAAAGTCCTCGCAAAATGAGGGCGAAACCTTTGGTAGTGTATTATCTACAAACTCATCTGCCTTCCAAAATTTACCCCGAAACTTAATTTCATTAAAACTCCCTCGACCCAAAGAAAAGCAAGCGGGGGAGGCTGAGGCTGAATTTTAGGAGCCCACAAAGGAAAACCCACATGACTCCTACCCATTTATATCCAACCCTAAATATAAAAACAATCATTTGAACCCGTTCATTCTCTAAAATTTAAACTACAGAAATATATATGGCATACTTTCCTATAGACCATTTTATATCATATTGTAGACTGCAATAAATCTGTAATAACATCATAATCTTCAAGCAAAAATTGCCTCACCACTGAACACACTTTATAATGCCACTAACCACTAGACACAACAACGTCCAAGACAATTGTCATAGGTCCTTCCAACCTTGGTATCTGTTTCGAGACAAGTTAAGTAATAGAGAAAGAAGAGGTTCAAGTAGAGGCAAGTCCCAAATTAAACTAAAGCAAGTAAACCTAAGCCTAATACTGCAAATAAGCTTAAAATTAGCTCAAATCAAAATCCATTTGAACCAAATTGATGTGATCATACTCATATTCAAACAATTGTCCTACTGTTTTTCCTACTTCTATGGGAGATCCCTATCTCTACGATGAGCTTCCTACAACTTTCTTATCTTCAACTGTGTTCACATTCCTAAGCATATGATGGATATTGCTTCTAGTTACCATCTTAATGAGGATTGTCAACCGTATATTCCGAGTTCGATTAGATTATTTCTAGTCCTACAAATATGCTATGACTGTGGTCCTTCCTAGTTACTCCTATTCTCTAATCTTTTGTAGTAGGTGAAAGTGCCTATTATTCATAAGCTTCCTTATCACAATATCTATCACACGACACTTTAATATATTTCTTATGAAGCATATAAAAATAATATTATAAATTAATAAAAAAGTTACCTTTAAATGCTCAAATTCTTTTTTTCTCTTTTTGGGAGTTTAGTCCTTGATCAATTGTAACACTTGAAGTATTTCAAAAGAGATCATATTTTTGTTTAAACATTAGAGTCAACTATCAGTGAGTTCTTTGCTTCACTCACTTTTTCTTCAATTCTATCATTTATTGTTGTTGGTTGAAAGTTCAACTGATTTTCTCAAATTTACTACAGCCTGATTTTTTGACTTTGCACGAAATTCCGATCCATTGCATAACATGATCTATAGTTTTATTGCCACTAATTTCTTTTATAAAGACAAAATGTTTTTGTTTGAATTGAATTTTTTCCTAAGTTGTTTATTTGTTGCATCAGTTGATCGCATATAAATCTACATCATATGATAGATGTTAGAAACCCTATATCCTAGAACATCCTACATCAAAAGTCTACAATAATTCATTTTTGGCAAGATTCTTAAATCCCACAATAAGAATCTGTAAGTTCAAAATTCAGGATGTTGTCCCCACTCATTAAATTAAACATTGTTAAAGGTTCAAAACTTACTCTAGTACTATCATTGTCATCACTAAATTGTTATTTACATCACCTAACATTAGTTTCACCTTGTTTGATGCATGATATATCTTGCAAATGCTTTCAATCAAGCTAAAGAATGTGTATAATTTTGTTGATATCATAATTGAAATTCTAATATATGACTACTTGACAATTTTTTAAATCATGCCTTTCTACATCAAAGTTAGTTCTTGAATTGGTTTGCATTTTGGAGATCTCTTAAGTTACAGGATTATTTAACTCTAATTCGTTTTCAATTTACTCAAAAAATAAAAACAAGAAAAAGTTCCTCAAACAAGGCAACCAAACTCTACCTCTTTTGTTGCCCATGAAAAAAAAAAATACAACAACAATATCAAGCCCATGTCCCACTATGTGGGGTCAACTACATGAATCCTTTTTCTCCATTGTATTCTACTAAAATTCAAATTCTCATTTAAATATTAGAAATGATCTTTTTTTATTAGATTTAAATGAGAATTTGACTCTTAATAGGATACAATGGAGAAAAAAGATTTATATAACTGACCCCACGTAGTGGGATAAAGGCTTAATGTTGTTGTTATTGTTGTTCTATTTCCTAATTTCATATAGTTTCTGATAAATCATTTTATAGGATTGTATATAAATACTTTCGTGTTGAAAGAAAAAACACTCCAAACAATTTTTGGCAAAGACAAATAAAAACCTAACGAGAATCATAAATTCCTACCATTAAGCCCCATGACATGCACAAAATTATAGACAAAACTAAGATAAAGAAAGTAGGGAACATAAGAGACATTTTCTAGCACTAATGCTGCCGATAAAAATAAACATAATCATGCAAGATCCAACCAGACAAAGCAGCTATACTGAACAAGCACTTGAACAATAGCCCTGCACAAAACGTTATGGTCTTGGCACTATAATAGCATTTGTTGACCTTCATCTCATGTTAGACAAGCAATTTCTCTACCAATTCATTCACATAATAATAAAATGCTAATAAAAATAATAATAATAAGTACTCACATTCCCCACGATGGTCCTTGACCATGAAGGCTTCCGTCCTTGCTTCTCTAACTCTAATACCGTTTAAGTGACAATCCACAATTCTTGCCCCAAGTCTAAATTTCCGACTCCTTGTCCAGCTAGAATTATCTGTAAATGAAAGCTCCCCAGCGGCACCAATCCCCTCATGGAGATCAAGAAAAATATCACCCATCAGGAGTGATCTCTTTCCATCCCTTTCTTTTACAACATTGCTTTTAAACTCCTCAATGGTCCAATTCCCGTGTTCATTGCCTTCAAAGTCACCCTCTAAAACTACTATTTCAACCTTCATTAAGGACTCAGGACCGGACGTGACTCTTTCTCCAGTCAATGTATCAACTAAAGCTACAGTTATAGAAGACGAGTCTTCTCCATCAATTCTGGTACCAGTAAATATTGGAAGAGACAGCTTATTCAAGAACTGTAGTTGTAAATTTCTGGAGCAAGCTGGATTTATCTTCTTTCCACATTCTCTGATATTAAAAAACAGGTAGGATTGAACATAAATCCATCAACTAATTATAGGAAAGAGAAAAGTTGAAAAACGGTAATCCTGAAAATTTTAAATAAAGCATAAAACGAGAAACCATTATGTCTAAGTTACTAAACATTAATTTAAAAGAAAAAGGAGCAGAAAATTTTTCTTTTGGTTACAACAGAGAAAATATTCGCTAAGAGCTGCTAGTGCATACCTTGACATGCTAGCCAAGTGATTTGCTAGTGCCAATTCAACTTCTTCTTTCACCTGGTAATAAGCACAACAAAACGCGAGTTACTCCTGCTTTTCAGATATTCATGCATACTTCAAGTACAAGCTAATCTTTAATTTTTGTAATAAGCATATAGCATGATCTTTATGCATTATATTTATTTTCTATAAATTAAACTATTAATCTATTTTCTAATTATGAAGAAAAATTCATAATCCAAACCAAAAATAAAAAATAAAACAAATTAATAGCAGCATACGTAATTCTACTCGTAAGCAGCTATTCTTGATAGTTCTACTTGTAAAAGAACCCGTTTGCTACTTTCAAGTCCCACTTATAATTAGCCATAATTAACACAATAATTCAAACTATCCAGATAATGAGGGGATGAGATGAAATACTATTCTTTAGCATGCCGATCTTAGCAATTGCGGAATTGTATTCCACTCACAGCAGTTTGGGTTTGTAGTTTTTTCTTCTTTTCGAGTATTTTAATGATAGTAGTACCAATAACAAAAGGATTACTGAGCAATCTAGCACAGAATTGAATTGCAGGCAATCTCCAGTAAGCTGGTAAACCAGATTGCTTTTCATAAGCCTTAAGTGAGTTGTTGTCATGGAGCTTGTTTGTGATTCAGAGAAAATTGAAGAAATTAACTTTTATGGGCCATGGGCAATCAGTAATAAATGATTATGTTCAAATCTAACCCAACATGTTTTTTAATCACACTGTCAAATGCCTGAGTTAAAATCAAACCAACTTGCGCTTACACCTTAAAAATACCAAGAACCCAATTCCTTCACCACCAACTGAACAGGATGTTCAGAGGCCAAAAGGGTGATATATTAAATTTCAAACCATTAAAGAGCATTAATCAAAGTCATCAAAACCACCATATCTAATCAAATTCATCAATATAAAATAATCTACATCACATCACCATCGGTAGCCATGCCTAGAAGGGGACAGCTTCATGAATCCTTATTCTCCTTTCATTCTTGTTGAGTTATGCATGAGATGTTGAATTCATTTTGAGAATATATTTTTGGCAACTTCTATCTAAGTTATCTTTAGTCTACCCATTTTTCATTTGAATTCTTTCACATTAATTGTGTCTATCTTATTGATATATCTTCTGCTCTCCTTTGTAAGTATCAACACCACTCAAGGCTATTTTCCAATGCCTTACCTCAAATAATAACTTCTCCCAATCCCTTAGATAAAATCATTTATGAATCCAAATTTCCTAATTGTAACACATTCATCTTATAATTCTTACTTCTGACAGAACCAATTTGTCCATCAATGATTTGATATAGCATAGCATGTCCAAAAAGGTTAATGAGAACTATAGTGAATACCGGTAGGAAGGTAGCAAATGGTGAAAGGGTGTTTGAAAATTTAGTCAATTTAAACCCAAGATTGCAGACATACGACAAATATTGTACATCAAAGTGTTTTTTGAATGGTCATTAAACTAACGCATCAGCAAATGCTTCATCTGAGACATGCTCCCCTAACTGTATTAATTGTTCTACGTGTTCTAAAAGCTTCCATGAAACGGTTGTATTAACACTCTCCCAACCCTCTCCTTTTAAATATACCCCAACATTATAGCAAGCATTCCATTAACCAAATTCTAACACCAAGTGCCTTGCCAAATCACGCTGTAAGAAAGATGAAGAATGCAAGCTTACAACTCTCCGAACCAAGGGCTCTAGCGCAGAAAGCAGCCTTTTCAAGGCGTCGGATCTCAATGCCTCCATAAATATCCTGCAAATACATTAAAAAACCATTTTAATGTATAAAAAGGAAAAAAAATCAAATTAACAAAGAAGATTTTTCACTCCCCGCAAAACGAATGTAACCCAATATAAATCACAATCAAAATACATCGAGAACGATATCAAAACAAAAGATTCGTACAGCCGAAAGAAAAGGGATGAAACCACCGACCCTCTGAGCGCAGAAACCCTCTGCCTCTTCTCCTCCGGCGAGCCGCCACTATTACCGGACGCGGATCCCTCCACGCGCTCACCCTCGGGTGGAGGCTGCCGCTTCTGCGACATCCCAGAAGCACACGACGTCGCTTGAACCCAAAGGAGCAGAAGTGAGAAGAAAAGGAGAGAGCTCTCGCCCTCCTCCAGCTCAATTGTTGGCGGCAGATGCCACGCAGACCGTCGGGCGGTAGCTTCCAAAAGCCTCGTCGTCGCCTTCTACACTTGGGCGCTCTATTTATTCTCTTCTCCTTCTTCTCTATCACTTTCCGTCTTTGGTTATCTTCTCGCTCTTCTCTCGCCTTGTCTTCTCGATAAAGAAGTGAGCGCCTAATTTCGTAATTTCCAGTACGAGGCAAGGGAAGAAAGTGGGACCCGTTCGATGCGAGTTAGCGTGTATAGCGTGGACGGTGTGGCCGTTCCTGCTGCCAGTTTTCATTGATTGGATTCGACGAACTTTTGGCCGTATACCGAGCTACTGCGCCCACGACAACAGTACACCAATTTGCGTGGAAAGTTTTAAGTGATGGAAATATTCTTCCTCACTAAAAATATGATATTAATTTGATAGCAAGTAATTTCATTTGTAATAAACTCATCGAGCATTTGAAAGTAATTTCAATAGCATATATAATAACTCTAGATAATTCAAATATAGAAAAATAGTTTTTTTTTTAATTAATAACTACTTAAGCATTCATTTTAGGGGTTATCACTCTCCCAATCTATTTGGAAACATAGTTAATTGCTATCAGAAGATATTGATTTTTATAAGATTACACTAAAAGGTCGTATAAAGTTTAAACCCTAAATATAAAAAAATTTAACTTCAAAAATATAATTCAAGAGCATTTCGTTTCGTCTAATTATATTACCTACCATCTCACACCGATCACATCTTTTAACATTTTCATTCACATCTTTATTGTATCCTGGAATATTCGTTTCAGTAGATAGAGATATAATTTAACATCTTAGCTTTGTACAAAAATCCAACACATAAACATATGAAATATATGTGTATAGCATTCATATGACATTAGAGTTTTTATGTGGAAACCTCTAAAAAGGGGGAAAATCACGAGGCCTTTCCAAGTTTAAATGAATCCACTAGTATTTGTATTTGATTACAAATGAGGCCCCTCCTTTGGGGGAAGTCCTTGGCTCAATGTAGTTAATATACATCATATATAGTGCATTACATGGTGGGAGTTTCAAGAATTAATGTTTGATATATTCATTTGATCAGCATGATCATAGTCAGCAAGCGATGTAGGTCGAAAGGACCATAATCAGGCGACGGTGGTTAGAAAGATAGTAGTTAGAAGACGGAGGTTAGTGATGGAGGTGGTGGAGTAACCTAAAGAATAGTGAAAATGATTTAGGGCTTTATCAATCCATTAACAAATGCTTATGTTTTATTTTATATGAAATTTATAAAATTCCACTTAATATGCACAAGTATGCATAGCGAATCAAATAATATAATGATAGAGTAGAGTATCGATCCCACGAGAAAAAAAAAATTACTAGCAAAAACTAGTATTGTCTACTTCAATATAATAATTATCCCACTCTATTGAAATACGTTTGAGGGGAGATTCAATCTCTTAATTTAAAATAAAAAATAATTAATTAAAATACTATTTGAATAAATAGTTTTGGAATGAAAGTATAATATGTTTCCTAATGATTCTCGTTTATATTGATATTATTCAGAGCACATATATATCATCGACTACTCAATCAAGCGTGAAGAAATAAATGACATATTAAACTCTTCTAACTTAAACCACTCTAAACTTCTATAGTCCGCCACCCTATGAAAATCTTAGAAGAGTAAGTAAAACATGTGCTGTTAAAACCCCCTCATGATAATTCATAGTTATAATTTTGATACATGACAAGCATTATGCGTAAGCTTGCGTTATATCAATCAAACATATCAGGTTGTACGTGTTTTTTTATTCCTAGGGTCCATATTACACTTGATATTAACTACACATATGATCAATATGTGCATTAAATGAAAACCTAGTATATTAAAAACATCATGAAATTATTGATGAAGAAAATTCATTAATACTCCATATTTTATTTACACCCTCAATCCAAAATTAGAGAATTTAACCAGAAATGAAGATCAAGTGAAGCAAATTCATTTTCATTAATTGAATAAAAAAAAGAAAGTACATAAGAAAAGATATCATCAGATAGTTCAATGATCTCCTCTTTATTCCTTTTGTGAAAGTTTGTTAGGGATGTTAGGCCCTATGAACTAGTGAATTGGTATTTTTAAAAATTCTTTAAAACCAAGAACAAATATCACAAACCAAAATCACCACGGAAAAATAAGTGCAGAAAATTAAAGTGCGTAAGCAGTAAAAAGAACACAAGGGTTTATAGTGGTTCAGTCAACTTGACCTACGTCCACTCCCCGGAGGCGCCCTCCGAGTATTGCACTACCAACGTGACTCTCCTTTTGCGCCCACAGCTAGGCGGAGAAGCCCTTACAAAACACCTCCTTTTTGCCACACCCGGCAAGGCAGAGAACCCAACTCCTTTTGCTTCATCCTGAAGCAGGCAGAGAACCTTGATCGATTGCTGAAGCTTACCTCTCCCAACCCTTCCAACGATAAGAGACACTAGGGAAGAAGAAGTGGAATAATGCTTGGAGCAACCCTTGTGAACTTCCTCACAAGCTCCCCCTCACAAGATCCTCTCTCTCTCTCCCTCTCCTTTAGGTTTTCTCAGGTCAATGAAGTGCTTTTTCTATCCACATTGCAACCTACAAAATCAGAGTCAGAAAATCCAATAATCTCAAATGAAGTGCTGTGCATCGGATACCAAATCCCTAAGCTTTGAGTCCCCAAAAGGTATCTAAAAATTCTCTTAACAACAGTCAGGTGGGATTCCTTGGGGTCAGCTTGAAACCTAGCACAAATGCAAACACTAAACATAATATCATGTTGGCTAGTAGTCAGGTAAAGTAAGGATCCAATCATGCCTCTGTACTTCTTCTGATTAATAGACTTACCACTTGGGTCCTTATCCAACGGAACACTAGAAGTCATGGGAGTATTAATTGGCTTAGTTTTATCCATCTTATACTTTTTCAAACTGTCCTTAATGTATTTTGTTTGATTTAGAAAGGTTCCATCATCCAATTGTTTTATGCTAAACCCCAAAAAGTATGACAACTCTCCCATCAATCTCATCTCAAACTCTCTACTCATTGTTTTAAAGAACTCACCACAAAGTTTTTTATTAGAAGATCCAAAAAGTATATCATCCACATAAATATGAACAATGAGAAAATCATCTCCAACTTTCTTAAGAAAAAGGGTGGTGTCTACGCTCCCCTTAACAAACTCCCTTTCTAGTAAAAATGTGTTAAGCCTCTCATACCAAGCTCTTGGTGCCCGCTTTAACCCATACAAAGCCTTTTTTAATTTAAAAACATGATTTGGACATTGGGAGCTCTCAAAACCCAGGGGTTGTTTTACAAACACATCCTCTTTTATTTCCCCATTTAAAAAGGCACTCTTAACATCCATTTGAAAAAAGCTTAAATCATTTATAATAGGCAAAGGCTAATGGCACTCTAATGGCTTCCAATCTAGCTACATGGGTAAAAGTCTCCTCAAAGTCTATCCCTTCTATTTGGTTATACCCCTTAGCCACTTATCATGCTTTATTCCTAACCACTACTCTAGAATCATTCACCTTGTTCTTAAAGAATCACTTTGTTCCAACTACACTTTGTACCTTAGGTCTTTCTACAAGCTCCCAAACATCATTCCTAACAAATTGAGTCAACTCCTCTTACATGGCTAAAATCCAAAACTTATTAGTAAGGGCTTGGTTTATGTTGATGGGTTCAGTCATTGAGATAAAGACAGAGTGATTCACCTCCTTCCTTAATCCATGTCTAGTCCTAACTCCATCAGAAGGGTCTCCTAAGATCAAATCCTTGAGGTGACTTGTTGAGTATCTCTAATCTCTAGGCATGGTGTGAGATAGTCCAACCCTTTCATCCAGATCTATATTTTCTACTTCTTGGTTGACATTTCCTGCTCCTTCAATGTTTTGGTGACCTACTCCCTTCTCCAAATTTTCTACTCTAGTGGTAATCTCTCAATCATCATCATCCTCAACTCCAGGCTTTTTAGGATCAGACTCATCAAATACTACATGTGTAGTCTCTTCCACCATCAAAGTCCTCTTGTTAAACATCCTAAAAGACTTTCCAACACTAGAATATCCCAAGAACACTCCTTCATCAGATTTAGGATCAAATTTGTCCAAGTGATACTTCCGATTGTTGTGAATGAAAACTTTACAATCAAAGACATGAAGGTGGGAAAGATTGGGTGGCCTACCCTTAAGGATCTCATAGGGTGTCTTGTCTAGTTTTGCTCTACATTCACCCATTCAACACATAACAAGCTGTGTTAATCGCTTCAGCCCAAAAGTATTTTGGAAGTGAATACTCAACAAGCATGTCTCTTGCGACTTCCACCAAGGTCCGGTTCTTCCTTTTAGCTACCCCGTTCTGCTGAGGGGTCCTAGGAGCTGAGAAGTTGTGGCTAATCCCCTTATCCTCACAAAAATCTCCAAATCTTTCATTCTCAAACTCTCCTCCATGGTCACTATGGATGGTCAAGATCTCACAACCTAGCTTTTTCTGAATCCAAGTAGAAAATATTCTAAACTCCTCAAAAGACTCATGTTTATGTGAAAGAAATCTAGTCCAAGTGAACATCAAGTAGTCATCAACAATCACCAAACCATAGATTTTCCCTCCCAAGCTGGCAGTGCTAATAGGTGCAAACAAATTCATATGAAGGACTTTTAAAGGTGTAGAGATGTTAATGTCCTTAGTGGGGTGAAAAGTGGAGTGGAATTGCTTTCCTAGTTGGCAGACATCACAAATATAGTCTTTTAAAAACTTGAGTTTGGGGACACCTCTAACTAGGTCTTTTTGGGTCACTTTTCTAAGAGTTTTCATACTTACATGACATAGTCTCCGGTGCCATAACCATGAATCATCAACAATAGTTTTTAAGCAAAATGATGCAGCACGTTCAATGTTATTTAAATCAAGCATGTACACATTGTTGATCCTTTTTCCCTGCAAAATAGTGTTGTTACTTAAACTTACAATGCATGAATTTGCAAAGAATTGCACGATGAAGCGTGATATAAATGTATCCAATTCATTTTGAATCCTCAAGTTAGTACATTTTAAGGAATCATTATCAATCCTCAAATTTTTCTCCATCTCTTTAAAATTCTTTAA